CCCCCCCCCCGTCTTGCTCATTTGTGGCCTGGTGTCCCACATCCAAGCTTGCCGGTGTCCCGTTATCGCTCTGGGACGCGGCGAAGAAGATGGGGCCTCCTGGAGCCCCGCCCTTGGCCCTGAGCTGCTCGCTGCCAGCGGCGCTCTTCTTCCTCTTCCTGCTCCCGCTTCTGAATCGCCACAGGCGCTTGACATCCATCCTGTTTGGGATTCCCTTTTTTTTTCCATCCCCTTGCCGTGCGGTCCCTGAGTGAGATGCTGCGCCTTTTAGCACGCTCGCCGCTGTCGGGAGTCAACTCTTGCCCGGCTTCAACGCCACTGCGGGCCCCGTCAGCTCAAATGACGCCAAATGATTGTGCCTGTTCCTGCGCACGCGCCCTCTTTTGCTCTTTTACGACAGCGCGAAGGTTCGGCGACGCCGACAAAAAGGATGACGACCATCCGACGTCACAACTTCACGACCGCTCGCTCCATTCGGTTGGTCCGCCAAATCGCCGGTCTCGCGGCCACCGTGATCCGCGCACGCGGTCGAAATTTGCGCAAGTGTAAATGTTTACCTGTTCAAAGAGCCGAAAAGTCTCTGGAAAGCCAAAGTGAAGATGGCCAGAAAGGAGAGCGTCGTTCCCTACCGAGTTTGAATCGTCCGAAAGACGGCCAAGTATCCGAAAAGGACGACTGACCGCAAAGTCTCGCTCGGCAGCGAAGCTTTGCGCACGTAGCCGGTGTTGTTTTTTTTTCATCAGGGTTTGTTCGAGATCGCCGCGACAACAATTTGAATGCTCTCCAGCTGTTTTTCTTGTTCCAAAGAAATTTTGAACAACCTCCAAATTTGATGGCGGCCGGAAAAAAAAAAAACGGCTTGCAAACGTTTCGCAACGGTTTGCAACACTGCGCGCACCCTTGCAAACCTTCGCCGCTCAGTGACATCGGGGGCTTAAAAGTGTGGAGTCGCCGATGCTGAAATGCACGACAGTCAGCCATGACAATCACGCTATGTTTGGGTGGTTCAGCCCGGGACTAGATTGGATGCGGACACTCAAAACCCGATGCGGGCTGGAGTTTGTTTTCGCCACCATGCAGTGGTTGAAGCCGGTTTTCTCATGATGCGCGGCCGATGGGATTCTTTTTCTTTCTTTCTTGCTTTCTGCGGCCGTCGCTTTCATCAATTCGCTCGACGACGCTTTGGGCCTTGTTGCTCGGTCGTTTGGTGCTTACGTGTGACTCGCTGCGCCTCCGTTTTAGCAATGCCCCAAAGAATCTGGAAAAACGGGAAAAAAAAAAAAAAACCCGTTAACGCCGCATCTGCACGTTGAAGTCCTCGCTTGTTGCGCGTTTTCAGCAGGTCTCCTCCAATACGCCTCACGGATGGAGAAGCAAATGTCATTTGACGAGGTCTCGATGGATTACGAAGGTCATGTGTGTGTTTTTTTTCTTTTTTTTCTCCAATCTGCCGTTTGTTAGCGACCGCCGTCAAGAACGCATTTGTCACACGTGTGTTTTTTTTTTTTTTTTTCAAAACACTGTTGGCAGCGTAAGCGGCTTGGGCAGAATTTCTGTTTTGGAATTGATCTTCTTCTCTGGCGCAAAAAGGGTTTCGAATGACGGTGAATGATTTACCGTGCCCGCTGTTGCTCTTGTTTTCCCGACGTCGCCTGCGAGCGCAAGAGCGTATCGAGCGCAGCCCGAGAGTTGACATGAAAGCGCTTCCGACGATAGCGCGGCTCTCTGGACGCAATGCGTCGCAGCCTTCCGCCGTGTCGGTGACATCGCGCGCGCACATGCGGCACGTTTGGGCCAAACGTGCCGCATGAAGTGGGCCAAACGGTTTGGCCCACTTCTAAAAAAAAAGCCTCGTCAGTGATTTGGCTTCACGGTTTCCATGTCTCTTTGTACTTTTGGATGTGATAAAGGAAGAGAGGAACAAAGCGAGTGATGCTTGCATGCCATGCATTGATGTCCATTGCGCACAGGCACAGTACTCGCTCTGGGTCATTGAAGGCCGATTTTATGACGGGTCGAAGAGCGATTCGGTGAACTATATGAGCAATTAAAACGCAAGTTAATGTATACGCGCTCCATTTCAATCGGGCCGGCTCGCTGTTTGTTGACAATCGGACTCGTTTGTTATCTTTATTGCCGCCGCCGCCGGAGCACAAGAACATCTGTCGCGGTTCCTTCGCGGCGACTCCGCACGCCATACACGGTTTGGTTTGGGTTTTTCTGTTTATTGAATTGAGGTGCCGTTGGCCAGATGGCGGCACGTTCGATGGAGCTTGATTACGTTCGGCCTCACTCGCTTGATTTTTTTTATTTTTTTTTTATGTCGTCCGAGCTTAAATCGGACAGGAGTCGTTAACGCTGTCCTTGACCCCCTCTCCTCCCCTCCCCCGATACGTTTGACCTGCAGGTCCCGGCTTGGCCTTCATCGCTTACCCGAAAGCGGTGTCCATGATGCCGCTGCCAACTTTCTGGGCCATCCTCTTCTTCATCATGCTGCTGCTCCTCGGTCTGGACAGCCAGGTGTGTTGTGTGCTCAATCTTTGACGCGAGGCGGCGTCAAATACACCACCAGAGGCAAAATGCAGTCTGAAAGACTCCTTTTTGTCATCCGCTTCACGATGAAAAAACAAAACTAAACAAATGAAGCACATGCCAAACTCCAAAAAGTGCGTACACGAGTCCAAATATGATGCGTGTCCACCGTGAGCGGCCCTTTAGCTCCGTCTCGTAATCCGGCGCATTTTTTTGGCCGTATCCAACTCACCGAGGGGCAAAGCTTTGCGAGTGTGTATGCGGGGTTGAGGGCTTAGGTGTTCATAGGACATTCCCAAACGGTTTCGGCGGTTGCAAATGTTTTTTCTTGTTGGCGTCAAACGTTCCAAATTTCAAAAATCCGACAAGAAAAACTGTGACCATGAGAGTAGCTGGTAATAACGAACCAGGAAAAACGCAAGAAACCGAAAGCGCTTGCAAAAAGGCAAGGACCAAAATGCAAAACAGAACTGGCGTGCCTGCCGGCAAAGAACGAGAGGAGTTCAACTGCAAGATACAAGAAGACAGCGAGAAGAAAGAGCATTAAACAAGAACCCAAAATACAAGAAAGTGGCCCGACGACCAAGAAGCGGGATGGAGAGCATCTGGAAAATACAGCCACTTGGTTTCGGGAGTCGTGAGCAAGACTGGAATGATCCGACGAAATCTTTTAAAGGCGGATGGTGGTGACGATCGGGTGCGTGGCCCGGAGGAAACTCCCTCCGATCCCGCCGACGACAAGACAAATGGCAGACACTTGTGCAACCGCATATTTCCCCAATGACGTTCTTTTTATTTGCCCTCAAAGATGAAAGAAAAATCATTCCGGAATGATTTGAAATGGATCTCGGTCTCATTTTCTTGGATCGCAAACATTTTCTTGGATCGCTGCCTGGAGTTCTTCGAGGCAATGACGTCATCGGTAATGGCCGCGGAAGTCAAGTCTTTTCTCTTGTTTGGTTTTTGTTTTTTGTTGCAGTTTGTGGAAGTGGAAGGCCAGATCACGTCCATCGTGGATCTGTACCCGGCCCTCCTCAGGAAGGGGTACCGGCGAGAGATCTTCATCGCCATCATGTGTTTCCTCAGCTATCTCCTGGGACTTGCCATGGTGACCAAGGTGAGTCAT